CCGCTGCAGAGCACAGGCTCCGGATGCGCAGGCTCAGCAGCCATGGCTCACGGGCCCAGCCGCTCCGTGGCACGTGGGATCCTCCCGGACCGGGGCACGAACCCGTGTCCCCTGCATCGGCAGGTGGCCTCTCAACCACTGCGCCACCAGGGAAGCCCTCCTTTTCCTTTTTTTTTTTTATGTTTTTTTGTTTTTTAGCTTGTCTGGATTTTCTAAATTTTCCATGCGTATGATTAAAGAATAAAGATTTGAAACCTCACAATAGCAACTGTACATGAAATATAGGCACAAAAATGAGAAGTGACCAACATCACTGCACCTTTAAGTAGTAGCAAATTCAACCAAGGCCTATTAAGGAAGATGGAGGAATCTTAAATTCAAAACTCATAATGTATCATTAAAGAACTCAATAATTCAAAATAAGAGGAACACATTTGAAAAGTACTGCTGGGAGCAAGCTCAAAGGCTTAAAGAACAGACTTTCTGCTAGTGCTGAACAGTGTGAAACTTTAGAAGTGCAAGGTTAATCAAAAATGGAGCAGGGGGCTTCCCTGGTGGCGCAGTGGTTGAGAGTCTGCCTGCCGATGCAGGGGACACGGGTTCGTGCCCCGGTCCGGGAAGATCCCACATGCTGCGGAGCGGCTGGGCCCGTGAACCATGGCCGCTGAGCCTGCACGTCCGGAGCCTGTGCTCCGCAACGGGAGAGGCCACAACAGTGAGAGGTCCGCGTACAGCAAAAAAAAAAAAAAAAATGGAGCAGGAAGACACTATACACTTCATATATAGCATGGAGGAAACGGAAAAAATAAGCTACAATGATAAAAAGTGGATTTTATAGAAGTACACACTTAGGCAAACATTTTTCCCTCTGGAAGGCAATAGATGCTATGCCTGGAATTAGCCCCTTTCCAGTCCAACTCCCTTTGAATCTGTATCTTCCCAGGATCAACTTGGATCAGCAGACACCCTCAGCCAAAAACTGTAACCAACACCTGGCACAAACGTTCACTGATTCTTAGGTAACTTTGAGCTGAAACCCTTATTTTGATTGAAACTTCAAGCATCTTTAAATGCCTGCAAATGTTCTTTCTCTAAAATTACCTATGCATTTTTTTTGTTTAAAAAAAGACAGGAAGAGATGAAGGCACCTTCCTTTGGAAGGTAAGAGCTACAATAAAGAATCATGTCCCTTCTGCACTCCCTTCCCAAGGCAAATCCTTAGAAATTTTCACAGAAAAAAATGTGCCTAAAATATTTTTAAACGCTTTAGTGATATAGATTGGGCTTCATCAATTGATAGAAAAGAAGTTAACCAAGAAACTTTGGTCAAAAACGCCAAAGATACATAAAGCTTATGACTACAATGACGCATAAGGGTTTCAACTTAAAATTATTTAAGAATCAATTAACATATTTGCTAGGTGATTGGTACAGTGTCTGGCTGGGGATGCTTTTTAATCAAAGTTGGGCCTGGGAGGATTATCACTCAAAGGAAATACTATTAATAATAGTGTTATTATTAATTTCAAGAGATGACCACTAGATTACCCTACTAACTGCAAATATACACTCTTTTACCCATGACCTGAAAGCTGTGTTAAAATCCAACATTCTCAACTCTTCATTACATTTTTAATGAATATGAATGAGTTTTCCAGTATATTAAGCTAGTTTCATGCTTGAGTTTTCTGAATCTTCTGACATACAGAAATGTGAACAAATTACTTTTTCCAATCCTGTCCATATTTACTGGCACAGAGGCTAAAAGGCACTTCATCCTATGTGTCAAACTCAAAGAGTCAAACAGCTTGCTGTCAGCTTCAAAAACCATTTTTTACAAGCATGGCACACTGCCTCAAACCAACTAAACACTAAAGCATGCCCACACTGCAAGTTATTTGGAATGTTCTCCATGTTTTGTGGTTGCAAAAGTACCTATTTGTGCATCATCCAGTTCAAATCAGGGCCACATCTGACCTTAAACAGAAAATTCCCAGGAAACTGAAACTATAATTGACCAAGATCCCATCAGTTCTGAAAGTCTGTGATCTTACGTTCACAGTCAAACATTTCAAATGTTATTTTTTTAAGCTGAAGAGACACAACATAAACTCTGTGAAACATGGTACTGTTTCAAGTAAACACTAAGAACTCACCCTAAATATACACATCACAGTAGCAAAAAAAACAAAAAAGGAAAAGGAAAAGGAAAAAATAGCCATATGCAATAAAGTAAAGGGCATTTGTAGCAAATATAAACACATTTCTGGTAAATGTCTAGCAAATGAAAAAAAAGTCTAAAAAATCATTTCATTTCTAACTTTCATACATATGCTAAAATGAAGCAGCTTCAGCCGTGGAACATGGTAAGAAATATTCCAAAGCTTTGCCTATAGATTGGAGCACTGTATCATAGGTATTATTTTCCCAAGTATAAATGAGTATCTCTCTCAAATCAAATACTCAAGACATCATTTCACAAATTGGAGTACCAAAACTTACCCAAGGTTTGCCTCGCATGCCTTTGATGTCTACTCTCTAAGACCCAGACCTATGGGGAATGCCCTGAAGGTAATTATTGAAGTGTTAAAAGAAGAAAACACTATATTAACAAGCTAAATTTTACCAGGGATTCTTCTACTGGAGATAAATTGCTGAAGCTTAAGAAATGCCTGATTCAATCATCCATTGGTGTGATAATTCAGTTCATTTAAAAAATATGCGGTTAGGATCATTGGCATATGGCTCCCTGGTCCAAGCTTTGTGTGAGAACAAGAACATGCTGGAAAATACAGTATTTTTTTAACTTAACTGATAGTGATGAAATTGCTGAAGAAATGACAAGCTGTAGCAAGAAATGTTTTTAGCTTTTGATCTTTCAGACATGCTCTTCTTAGTGAAGGAGTATTATTGAGTCCCTGAACAGTTTTCCCTTCTATAGATATATAGAGGTACATAAATATATGTATACCCATATCTATAAATAGATATGGATTTTGTGATATATATATTTGTGATATGTATATGTGATATACATATGAATATATATCTTTAGTTTCAAAAAGGATTATTCACAAAACAATCATCTCAATCAAATAAGTCACATACCAAATCTCAAGGTACTCATATTAACCCACACAGTTCTAGGAAATAAGTCACATCCACCTTAGAACCCCAAATTCTTACCGAATGCGGTACTTTCTGGCCTAGAGTCCAGCAAACTTAAGATAAAATAGTAACTGCAGTTAGGGCTTTAAGTATGCGACTTCTTCTAAGCAAATTTTTTTCCAAAAATGCTCAGTTTGCTACAAATTTTCAGAAAATGCTTGAGATGGAGAGTTCTTTTTTTAAAGTTTCAATTCTGGTATATTTGACAACAGAGTGACAAAACCATGCCCAGAGATGAAAACCTATATCCCAAACAAAATGGTATTATATTAATGTTTATTCTGGAATGATTTTCTTTCAAAACTTCCCCACTGCACATAAGTTGTCTCTTACAGTATTCCCCGTCTATTTTGGTAATAAATCTTTCTACACACAAATTATATGTAAAGCATATATACTTGAGAATTTAAATACTTCATGACACTCTTTTCTTTAAACAAGCTCCCACATTCTATTTTTATTTTTCAAAATAATCTGGACCATATAATCAATTACATCACTACAATTCTGGCTATGCAACACTTCACAAAATATAGGGACTTGCCATCAGCACCTCTGATTTGTCCCTGTCATCAGATGTATACGATGTGAGTGACGAAGACAGAAACAAGAACAGACATTTGTGGTAGAGACCTGGGGGTGTGAGAAAATGGGCTTCCTTCACCCACAGGATACATGAAAAAAGAAAACTTAGCCACTTGGGCAATAAATGTACTTATATATTAGGTTTCATCAAATAATTACACCTACTACATACCTCATCCAGGAGTAAAACTGTCTGAAGCAACGTCGGATTATGCAAGAAACATCAGGTTTTATTTATGATTCTTAGAACTATTACTCCTAAAATTAATGGGAGCCTTCTTAATCTAAGCTATAATGAAAACCAATAAACAAAGAGAAAAATCTTTTAAAAACATGATTGAAATGTTTAAAAAACATGACTGAAACCTCATCTCACCTCACTGAAAAAAAAAAAAACAAAAAAAACCTGCATCCTACAACAGGGATCTTTGCCTTTCATTAAGTGTTAAGACCAAGACTAAATATTTCATGGGGACTAAACGATCACTTGGAACACTTAGGTCAGCCCCGGGGGGTAAATTTCACAAAAATGCATTGTTGGGTTTTGTTGTAGTGGTGGTTGGTTTGTTTTAGCACCCGAATCCTCCAAGATATTTTTTTTCTTTTAAAAAAAAAAAAAAAAAAAGTTTCCCAAAAGGGGAGGAAGAGGGCGGACGAAAATCAGTGCAACGCTGAAAACCGACCAAGGCTGAAAGAGCCACAGCGCGGAAAGCTCACCCACAAGTAAAAGGCAACCTCTCAGAACTGGTGTAGCTCGAAGGAGCCCTCGGACTTGGGCAAACGAGGTGAATTTCACCCCTGAAGAGTGAGGAGCCCACAGTGTAAAAGTTCAGGAGGATTCCATCCCCTGCCTCTCACTCCCAGCGCTCAGCATCTCGAGGGGAGAGCCCGGCAGAGAGAAACCCGGCACCGGGGTCCGGCCAGCAGCGGAGCGGTTTCCTCGAAGGCCTCACCGCTCGGGCGGGCAGGGGACGGGGCAGGGGGCGTCGGGAGGCGAGGCGAGGCGGGACCCGGGGACACCGAGTCCCGGCCGGGCCCCACCGTGTGGCGCTGGCTGCCGAAATCCCTCTAGTCCAGCTGCAAAAACCTTCCCGAAAACCCGGAGCTTCTCCGGCACAACTTGGGTCTCACCAGCCTCGTCCCCCGCCGCACACTCCGCCCAACCGCACATCCTTCCCACCGCGACGAATCAAAGCGCTCCCCGCGGGCGGCTACCTGTCCCTGGGGCCAGGGACCCCAAGTCTCACCTCATACAAAGGGCAGCGCGCGGACGCCTGCGGGAGAGCCCGGGGAGCATGGCCCCAGCCAGTCCCTCCCGGAACTTTCCTGACATAGCACTTCTCTCCTTTGCTGCAGAAAACGACTCTTCGAGGCAGAGGAGGAGGAGGAGGAGGAGGAGGAAGAGGAGGCGGGGATGGCGGTGGCGATCCAGGGGGCGGCGGCGGCGACGGCAGCTAGAGCAGAAAGTGAGGAGCATCGCGGCCGAGCGCCGCCGCCTCGCGTTCTGCCGAGGGGTTCCCGCCCCCAGGGTAACCGAGCTCCCTCTTAAAGGCGCCGCGTTTTAGGACGGGCGGCGAGGGGAGAGGAAGCAAGAAAATAGGGAGGGAGCCTGCAGACACGGAGAGATTCCAGGGGCCAGAACCCGGGCTGCCCCAGCCCTCCGCCTGGGCCAAAACAGGGCAAGTGCTGGGACCCGGCACCGGCGGGCCGCCCTCGCCGTTGGCTTGCACCCAAGACGGTGTTGGAACTTCGCCCCTTCTCCTAATCGCCCCCATCCCTCTTAGGGGCTTGTCTTCCCGCCTCCACAGAGGCACCGCCCACACTTACGCCCCCGAAGCCCGTGCGCGCCGCTGGAGACTGCCCAGTGGAATTGCGTTTCCTCCCATGTTTCCTGCTTTTTCTTCCTGTCTCCAACACAGTGTTGAGAGTCCACCACCACCACCACCAGGAGTGCAGGAGACCAAAAAATTAAAGACCAGCTGGGGCCCCTAGACTGACCCCTGAAGGTGTCACTGGTGTGTCAGGGGAGACTTACCAAATGCCCTGCTTTACCATGTGCTCTGTTCTCTTCCAATGGCCAATGGCCAGGTGGCCTCCAACTGGACATCTTGAACTATTGACTTTCATCAGCAAAGACTGGCTGTAAAGATCACCAAACTGAATTCAGGAAGGCCCTTAAGAAAAGATATCAACCTTAAGATCTAAATGATACTGGGAAATACTGCTTTCAAGTGACAAGTGATACTGTTTTTCCAGCTATCATCAACATTTGTGATCACCACACAGCGGGATATGCCCAGTGTGGCGATGCCCAGAGACACAGCATCAGCAGCTATCAACACCCTAGGAAGAGACCACAGTAACTGGGTGTGGGTATGGGCTTGTTTTTCTACCTCTTGACTCCAGCTCTTGCTTCTTCTTAGTACTGTGGGACCTCAGCACAGTCTTTGTGTCATTTGTACCCTGCCCAGCGTCCTCTGGCTGAGGTAGAGGTGGACAGGCAATTGAAGATTAAAATCCAGCCTGGGCTCCAAAGAATGGGGGTGCTGGGCGGGTGGGGACTCTGAGGGAGAGGTATTTTGTAATAGACACAAAGGCAGTCGCATCACTTGCCTAAGACTGGACTTCATATTTTTCCTTCCCTGCCACTTGCTATTGTGAAACAAGCACATGTTAACTTGTGGAGGAAGACACCTGGAAGGCCATGCGCAGAAGGTTGGAGAAACCTTTCTTACCAGATGGAGAGGAAACGAATGTTGGGCTCTATAAAAGCAGGAGACATGGCCCTGTTTAACCAAAGGATAAGATGAGAGAGGAGGTTAGCAGTGAGCAAGAATGAAGCTATACTGGTTTTATAATAAACTCCTGTATAGTCAGGATAGTTGGATGTATTAGGTACCCTACTCAAACTGACTTTTGAAAGCCTACAGCAAAGGAGGTTGAAATGTATTGACTCATATGCTTATAAATCCCAAGAGTAGAACTGGCAGAAAAAAAAAATGCTTTTTAAAATCCTTGATTTTCTAGAGGGGTGGGATAGGGAGGATGGAAGGGAGGCTCAAGAGGGAGGGGATATGGGGATATATGTATACTTATAGCTGATTCACTTTGTTGTACAACAGAAACTAACACAACATTGTAAAGCAATTATATTCCAATAAAGATATTAAAATAAATAAATTAATAAAATGTTGCTTTAAAAAAAAAAAAGGTAAAAAAAAATCCTTGCTTTTCTCCAGGTGCTCAAAGAGTGTTAGGACTCTGTTTCTCTTCATATCGTGGTTGTGCTTTCATTGCACTGGCTTTATTTTCTCTAATCAGGGCCTAGACCTACAGCTCCAGGTGTTCCCCCTCCTCCCACCTCCTTAGCAATTGGTCCCATTAACAAGAAAGCAGGCCAAGGAATGAGTCTCATTGGACTTGCTTAGATCCTATGCCCGTCTCTGAACTAACCATTATAACCATGGATTGGTATAATTGGTATAATAATGAGCAGGTAAAGTCCATAGATGGCCTATTCCCCACACCTCCCATTTCCTAACACGCACACATACACGCAGCACCTACCTCTCTGGCTACTTTGCCTATAGCCTCTGGTTCAGAAGAATGCAAGTAACCGACCCAGCCAGCCACATCCTTTCACCTCGGAAGGGCCTCAGTGATGTTAACAAACCACTAGCAAACAAACAATACCTAAACTGTATTCAATAATTTTTTCCCTAAATCATGCTACCTCTGCCTCCACACGTCCCCCTAACCCCACATTCATTGTTAAGCCTTGTGTTATATGTGATCAATTCATAATAATATAAAGAGTCCACGGATATTTCTTGCTACCCATATGTTCATTCAACTTGAAATGCGGCCTATGAATAATCACATATCAGAATCCAAATGACCCAGGGCCCAATTCCATTTCCAAACTCCAGTAAGTTCTTCTTTATCTTTTCAGACATAGCACAGAGGAGTTTATATTTTGCCTATGAAAACTGCCGAATAATTTCAGCCTTTTTTCTTCCCACGTGAGAACTTTCCTTTGGTTGCTCATAAAAGTGTTTAATGTATTCTTCACTTCTGTATTTATAGAAGAAGTTCATAGATATTATACACAAATAGACTTAAAACCCTGGAGGACACTTTAGGATTAATCTAAAACGGCCCCCTTCATTTTAAGAAGGAAGAAATAAAACCTAAGAGATTGACTTGCCTAGGGTCACAGGACAGCTTTTAGCTTTTGTGATCTGCCCTGCTCTGTGCTAGGCATCTCGAAAAGTATAGAAGCAAAAGCATGCAACATGATCACTGCCCTCAGAGCGGTTAAATTTAGTCAAGGAGACATAACCATCTAAGATATAGGACAATTACAGAGCATCACAGTATATCACATGATTTAGTGTAAAAAAAAAAAAAAAGTGTGATGAGCTCTGCGTGTTAGCTATAGGCACTGAAATAAGAGACACAATGAGCTGAAGTAGTCTGGGAAATGCTTTTCAGCCAGGAACCAACCTGATGGCCTTTTAAAAATGCAGAGAAAAAAACATAATGGTTTTCCAGGTAAGAAGAGAACATATGAGCAGGATTGAGGGGGAAAAGATCTTGCCATGTGTTTGGAACTGAAAGGAAATCTGCACTGTCATGGTTTATAAGAGTGTTTCAAACTGCAGGTCATGAAATCATTTTAGTAGGTTTTGAGTAGTATATTTTTAATTAAAATAAAAAATATTAAAGTGCATCACACTTAATAAGATTATTTGTTGAACTTGCGTTTCATTATCTTCTGTGTTCTAAGTTATGATGTAGATTTCATTTCATACTTCTGGTCACTTTCAAAAATATTTCAAAACACATAGTTCTGAATCCAGATAGAATGAGTGTGAAACTCTTTGTAGCAAAACAGTGAGTGAATAACGTCTCTCCAAGCATCATTTTCCTTATGTGCAAGAGATTTCCAGCACAGCCTTTTGCACAGAGTAAGACCTATAAATGGTACCTCTTGTTTGCTGGCTAGATTGAAGATTTTCAGCCTTGGCTGCATATTAGAATCACCTAAAGAGATTTTTCAAAATACCAATGCCTGGAACCCACCTTCAGAGACCCAGACTCAGTTCTGGGGTAGAGTCCAGGCATCAGAAAGTTTAAAAGCTGCCCACATACAGTCATGGCTGAAAACCCATGGGCTGGACCCATAACTGAACACGTCTAGCACCTGAGAAGCATGGTGATACACTGTCTCTCTTCAAGGGGCATATTCACCTTCTTGCTTTACGTTTCTAATTCTTTACCAAGCAATAGATAGCATACTACTTAGTCAGCAGAATTCTAACTACTTTCTGCTCTGAAATTCCTCAACTGTGGTGCAATCCACTCATGGTTCATCTCAGTCAATAACACAGCATGGATCCTGAGTCATAATCTCTTATGTGTCTCTCCACATGTACAATTTATGGTCAGTTATCAGCATACAATAGTTTCTGGAGGTGTTAAAAAGCAGTGCCACCAAAAATTCCCTAAGGAAGAAGAAAAGGGCTAGAAGCAAATGGCATTGGAAATCCATAAGCTAAATAATTAGCAAATGACTCATTACATTTCAGCTATTTTCAACCTGATTTTTAATAGTTTAGCTTCTAAATATAGTAATTAGTGATGTGCTTTTTGTAATTTTACATTCAGTAATCCCTAAATGTTCATATCTCATACATTTTCCCTTGTACAGTCAATTCCTTTGTGTACAAAGCAGGAGAAGCTTTCTTCAAATACAGATTATCCAAGAGATTCAGAACCACTGGTATTCTGCCTAGTCATTTTGTCTCTGTAGATCTTGACTTTTTTTTCTGGTTGGACAAAGGAAATAAATGTAGCATAATTTTGAACCTTGCCAATGAGAGAGAGCAACTAAGTAAGAAAGAAAAAGAAAAAAAACTAAACCCCAAAATCCAACACCCAGACATTATGTGTGTCATGATATGACAAAATCAGTACCCAGAACCACTATAGGGTCTTCTTGCCTGAATCTAATCAAGCCTCTAGACCTAATAAGAAATACAAGGGACAAAGGATCAAGTTTAAAAACTACCTCAAGGAAGCAATCAGCCAAATCTAGAATGTGGAACAGTCAATAAGAAAAATGACCTTGCTTCTCTATCAAATCAATCACATGGAAAAGCAGGGGACCAATTATAATAGAGTGAAAGAGATTTAAGAATCATAATCATGAAATGCAATGTGTAGACTTTGTGTTCTCTTTTGACCAAAGCACCTATGAAAAGAACACTTGGGACAGTCAGGAAAATCAGATTATAGACTAAGTCCAGTATTAGGTACTATAAATGAATTATTCTTAATATTGTTAGATGTGATAATGGCATAACAATTATGTGTAAAACAGAAATGTCATCAGAGGTACATACTGAAGAATTTTGTAATCCTGCAAGAAAAATGGAAGGAGGAATAGATGAAAAATTATTGATA